AATGAGGAGGATGGGCACCATGAGCAGCAGTTCCCGAAGATGGGCATCAAGGAGATGGCATTGGCCATCGACGCTGCCATGGAGCACATGATCCAGATGAATGAGAAGACGGAATGGGTCCTGGCTGGGCTCCGCCGCAATGGGTTCTTGGCCCTGAGACCTGATGAGCATGGCAAGATGAGGAAGTGCGATCACGAGGCATGGGCCAAGGACAAGCCATTGGGCTGCAAGAGGATCCATCCGACATGGGTCGCCAATCGGTATCAGCATGAGAACAATGGAGACATTGAGAAACCCAATTGGGCTCGCATTGAGGGAGCCACTGAGTTGAGTGACCTGGCCCATTGGCACTACAACGATGGGTTCAAGGATGCCCCAAGCTGGGAGGACATCCCATTTGATGAGCATTCCGAGCCTGAATGGCAGGCATGCGCCAAGTTCCAGATGCCATTAGACCTGAGAAGGGCCATGCTGGCAAGAGAGGCGACCATGAGCGATCAAGCCAAGGCAAAGAGGGAGAGGAGAAGAGAGAAGAATAAGACCAGGCGGCAGAAGAAGCAACAGGAGCATCAGCTCACGGATGAGGCCCGGGAGGAGCTGAGAGCAAGCATGCAGGAAACCTCCAGGCTCCTCGCCCTTCCTACTTGCCCTAAACCCCCATGAGACTCTCCTCCTGTCATGCCACCAGCCAAGGTATGCCGCCATGAGGGATCTGCCAGCATCGGCCTCGAAGAAAGGCAAGGCGAAGGCCAAGGCGAAGGCCCAGGCCAAGGCCGAAGCCAAGGCCAAGGGCATGAGCTTGCCCAAGATGGGCAAGATGGCCAAAAAGCAGCATAAGAAGCAGCTCAAGAAAAACGCATTGAGCAAAGCGGTGGATGAGCTCCCTGAGCCGCCATTGCCTCCGCCACCCGGCCCACCAGCTATGAGTGCTGACACTGGTGAGCATGACATGACCAAGGGCACATGGAGGATAGTCAATGAGGCCTGTGGGTTCGAGAGAAAATTAGCTGGTTGAGCAAAGCCCATCATAAGCTCTCCCTAGCCGCAGGACGCTGGCATTTCGCTGTATGGGCGGCATGGGTCCATTCTGGGTGTCGGCCGTCAGAACTGCCACATGCTGCTGGAGAAGGACCATTTCTTCCCCAAGCAGCAGAAGGCATGGGTCAGCAAGAGCCATTGTGAGCGATTGCCAGAGGGTGAGCATAAGGTGTGGAAGTGGGCCCAGATGTCCTTCTACCGGGCCTGGAAGCAGGAAATGCTGCTTGACATGGGGCTCTTGAGCCAGGACCTGGATCAGCTGGATGGGCTTGAGCAGGTTCACATCCTCCCATACCCAGCCATTGAGGCCGGCGGCATAGAGCTGCAACAGCTGCATTTGGGCTGGCGAGTCCTGCTTTGGCACATGCTCCAGAGCTCAATGCCCTGCAAGAGCATGGGCTTCATTAGTCCTGGATGGACACAGCCACTATATCTGCATCATGACAATGCCAAAGTGGATGTGGATGCATTCATTGAGTGCATCAAAAAGCAGATGAGTGCTCATACACTGAACTTCCTCCCCCTGGGGTCTGCTGGGCACTGGGTTTTGCTCGTCATAGATGCGACACATGAGTCTGAGACTCCCAAAGTGAGGCACACCATGCTTTTTCCTCCTTTTCCCTATTATAAGGTAGAGTTGTGCATGGGGACTCCTTATTTCGCATTCGCACGCAGAGCCAGCCCTGAGGTACTATGACTCCCTGCCGGATGAGTCCCAGCGATGCAGGGACTACGCTGAGAAAATCTTGGCATCCCTGCTCTCCATGGGCCTGGTGCATGAGGCGGTGCTGCCTCCTCGCAGGAACAAGGTCTTCCAGGGAGTCGATGAGTGCGGATTGCATGTTCTGGCTGCCATGGAGCAAGAGGCCGCAAAGGCCATGGGGTTTGGAAAGGCCAGCACTGGGTGGCCTTCGCATTCGGCGAAGAAGTGGCATGAGCGGCTGCATAAGGTCACAAATGCTCTCCGCACTGAGCAGACCAAGCGACTGGATGAGCTGAAACAGCATAAGAAGAAGGAGGAGGCCTTGGGAATCAAGATACTCGGACCTTTAGTATTTAGGCCCATTGTCCCTTTTGTAATTAGTCTTAGACATACAGGGACCCTTTTCTTCCTGGGCTTCCCAGGATGAGAAAAGAGCGAGAGCACATGGCGGCCATGGCTGAGAAACGCATGAGCAAAGGCCTTGAGCTGACTGCGCTTCAGAAGATGGCCCATGAGGTCATTAGCCAAGGCAAAGTCCTTGAGATCGAGGACATGCCCCAGGCATACTGGGATGAGAGAAATCGAATCGAACTCCATGAGATTGGAGTCTGCAGCCGCTGCCGGCATGCCTCAGGCTGCCTGAGCTGCGATGAGGGTAAGCTCCTCGCATACTGGATGAGGAGGGAAGCCCGCAGATTGGGCAGGAACATTGCCCCTAAGTACAAGCTTAGCTCTGCTGGACATGAGCTGGTCCAATGAGGAAAAGTCTGCCATCATGAGTTCTTTACGGTTTAGGCTTCAGGGTTTGGGGTTTAGGGTTAAGTCATAAGCCTCTAAATCCCCTAAATCCTTATTTCGGGGATTTTCGGGGATGGCCCCGTCTAATCGGGGGGGGTTTAAATGAGCTCCGGTACTATAGGGGTGGGGTCTAATGGACCTCTTCATTAAGCCCATGAAATGCCCGGGACGGCCCCGTCTAATCTGGGGGGGTATCTTAATCTGGAAACGACATTAGTAAGGATTCCATCGACTGCTGGGGGAAGACGGCTCTTATTGCCGCTTCGCGGGCGGGACATCTTGACTTCGTTAAGCTGCTGCTGGAGGCTGGCGCTGCCAAGAATTGGAGAGACGACGGCGGCCACACGGCCTTGAATCTCGCTTCTTATACCGGCCACCTTGGGGTGGTGCGGCTTCTGCTAGAGGCCCGTGCTGAGAACGACCAAACAGAGATGTTCGACAACACGGCGCTGGTCTGCGCATCCGAGAACGGCTGCGTGGAGGTGGTCCGCTTACTTCTGCAATCGGCTGGTAGAGGCCTTAAAGACCAGGGCGGCTACACTGCTCTCCTTCGCGCCTCTGACAGCGGCCAGGACGAGGTTGTGGGCCTTCTCTTGGCAGCCGGTGCCGACGAGAACTTGAGGGACCACTGTGGTCACACGGCTCCTCGGTTCTTGAAAACAGCTTAATTTAAGCTACCATAATAAGGAAACCATATTATTTACTATTTAGATCCCTATGATGGTAACTTAAAGTAAATGCCTCAACAAGAACCCAGGCCCTCATGTGCGCATCTCGGAACGGCCACCTCGAGGTTGTTCGCTTGCTGCTTAAGGCAGGTGCAGACAGAAACCTCGAAGATCTGCAGGGGAAGACGGCTCTGGTTTACGCAGAGGAGAACCTTAGTAGCTGAATTAGTATACTATAGGGGCCTTCATAAGTACCAATACTATTTTGGCGGTTCCTTCTTACAGGTATAGTATAATGGGCCCCAAAACCCTATTCTAATTGTTATGGCCCCTATAGTACCTCTTTTTGAGATAAGTTTTTTTACACCCAGGACAGGCCTGAAACGTGTATTTTTGGGGTGGTCTTGTTATGAAACCCGAATCTCGAGTTCCGTAGTTAACACCTTAAGCCCTAACTCAACACCGGAGGAACGGGTACACGGAGATTGCGCGCTTGCTCTCGGCAGGTTGACGACGGCAAAAATGAAGAGTTCGGCGAACGTGTGTTCGGGTATAGCATTCAGGGTTTGGGGCCGTGTTTCTTCCGGGTAGGTGCTGGAAGCTAAACTGGTTTGAGACTTAATTACAGGATCTAGGATTTACGTTTCAGGGTCTGGCGCGTAGCGGGTTAGGCTGCCTACACCTTCCCGATGTGGCAGTGTCAGAAACGACGTGGCTCTGGTAGAGACCCGATAGGTAATGTCGTACGCACACCTGCACGCTTCCAACTATGAGAAGCCAGTGCCTCTAGCGGTGGTACCGTTACACCACACCATACAGGCCTGAGCAATAGGAATCAAGGTCTTATTTGGCAGTAAGTGGGTACTTGGAAATTGCGGGAATGCAGGGGCCAACTCATAGTGGACCTAGTAGGGGAGGCAGAACAATTTGTAAATGCTTGCAGTTTCTGGTTCCAAACATAAATCACCGCCGGTAGACCTCCTGGCCCAAAACCCCATCAGTCTACTTACGAAGATCCCTACATTCGACCCATGGTTTCGACCATCTACTGCCCGAAATGCACGAGATGGGCCGAGAAGGACGAGTCGTCAAACATGGAACCAGACTGGAAGTCGAGGTCCGAATTTCTGAACCCTCAATTTGCACCCACTCAAGCCCCAAAGGACATCCGCTGCCCTAAACTCCTTACAGAGCCATGGACGCCTGACAGGACCATAGAAGAAGCCACCCAGAGACTCCAATATCCGTCCATTGAAAGGAATATACCTTAAGTCACATTAGGGACCCTAATTTAATTTAAGGTACATTTATACATATTGGAAGGTCTGGGCAACCCCCCACTTGGCCGTCTCGAGCCCACTTTGGGGAATCAGGTTAAAGACAAGGGGTGGGCTGCGAGGGATAGGGTTGGTCCAGAGTTTAAGATTCGGGGCTCTCTGGTGGGTTGGGGTTTAGTGTTTCGGGTTTGGGGTTTTGGCCCGGAATGCTCGAATTCCTATGAGGCTGCGTAGAAGGGTGACAGAGCCGTATACTGCAGCACCCCAATGTAGATTACAAGCCCCAGCCCAAACTATCCGAAGCCGCAAACCCTGTACTGGCCAAGCTTAACTAAACGCAGAACCCGCAACCTTAAACCCTGAACAATAATCCCGCTGACATTAAAACAGAAACAACTCTCAACCCCAAACCATACTTTAACCCTTAACCTACCTTTTTGGGATTCCCTATTTTGATTTCCTTATATATAAATAAGTCCGTAAAAAGGTAGGTTATTCAGGGTTTAGGGAGCCCAGGTACGCTTTCCGGCGATGGATGGCTGCCAGCTGGCAGCCTGGTACATCCCGGCCAAGGACAAAGCCCCTTCAGCTCATAGTTTTTGGATTTTTGCAGGGTTTATAGGGTATAGGGTTTAGGGTTTTAGGGTTTAGGGTTTAGGGTTTTAGGGTTTAGGGTTTAGGGGTTTAGGGTTTAATTAGGGTTACATCCGGGTTTCGTGAATCTTGGTGTGCTTGGAAGCTTTCGTTGGATGTCACTGGGCTTGGTCTACTTTGTGCTGACGCAGCAGGGCAACCCTATAATATGAAGAAGGATGATGAATCTTGCGCGGCTAGTTTGATTCCAAGACGGATGTCATCGCATTATCCCTGTCGCTCTGCTGATTCCTGTGGTGGCAAACACTGCCTATGCTTTTCCCCTTCCGCTTCGGCTAAGCCCATAGAAACTAGTTCCCCTAATTTGGGGGCCCTATACTACTAAGGGTGCTTTGTAGGAACCCTACATTAAGGGATCTACTTTTGGATCCTCCCGGGAGTCTGGGAGGGTACGCCTTGCATCTCAAACGGCATCTGGTAGTTCTTGCACATCCTCGTGGTCTTCGCGCTCGTCATCATTACCTTCATCAACCGTCGCCGCCATAATACAGTGTAGAGCCGTGCGGAAGTTTCATGGCATGCAACCTTTATGGAGTCCAACAGGTCTATAGGATAAAATTTGTACAGAGCCGTGCAAAACCTTCAGAAACCTTCAAAACGTTATAGAGCCCTACAGAAGCCTACAGACCCCAGGGAAGTCGAAAGAACGCTGCACAAGCCTGTAAAAAACCTACAAACCCCCCAAGGCCCCAAAGCCCCGACACCCCAAACCCGAAACTCTAAACCCGCAGCCCGCAAACCTATACCTGAAACCCGAAACCGTAAATCACCAAAAATCCGTAAACCCGAATCCCTAAACCCTAAACCCCATGCCCTATAAGGCCTAAACAGCCGAGGCGAGCAAAAAGTTGGCCATCGTGGGCCATCAGTCCTGGGCCTGTGCGTGCCTTGTCTAGGACCGGGATGCCCAGCAGTACCCTGATTCCCATTTTGTAGTCCTAGGTTCCTTATGAAGTTACCCAACAGCAAAAAGGGAGCCCTTTTTATTCCCAGGTTACTGGGCATCCTAATTGTCTTTCAGGGCCTTATAATATAAGGGCCTAAATATTGCCTGTACTGTTAGAGTAGGGTTCCCTTTAAAGCGGGTCTATAAGGGCTACTACAAGGGTTATTATAGGGGTTTAGTATAGGAGCCTTAAATCATTGCCAATACTATTTTGGGGTTCCTTATGGTTATTATTCATAGTATACTGGGCCCCAAAACCCTATTCCAATAATTAAGGCCTCTATATTAGGGGAGCGACAGGGCCTTTTCTTGCAGACCCAGCGATGTGTGTACGAGTTGAAAGGAGTTTGTAACGGATCATGGAAGTTGAGAGCTGCAGGTTTCGAGGCCGCGTGCTTGGGACCCGACCCACTGAAAACGGAATCCATTTGCAGACTACAGACTTTCTCACAGCGCTTTACCCTAAACCCCCAAACCTTAAATCCAGAAGCCTAAAACCTAAACCCAGAGCCCGAAACCTGAAACTTCTGAACTCCCACGAGCTCTACACCGCCGGGGTTCCATGGTTGCTTTTGAGGGAGCCAGGAACAAGCCCAAACCGTTCGGGTTTAGAGCTACCTGACCTAAGAACCGAACTGCAACACCCCAACCATCCCCAAACCCTAAACCTTAAACACTTCACCCCCCCAAAACACCCTCACGTGCGCTGAGGAACAAGTCTGGCTGCGAGACGCACTACAGACACGGTTGGGTCAAAGTCGAAGGACGGATTTCTGGCCTTAGGGTTTAGGCTTTAGGGTTTGGGGCTTAGGAGCATGACTCAGCATGGGCTTCGAAATTTGGGGCTGGCATTGCACTGTTCGGGGTTGAGGATTTAGGCATTCTCTCTCCAGACGTCCTGTGGGTTTGTCTAGCTTAAGGCCATCTGCTGCAAGAGTTTATGATTTATAGAGTCTAGGGTGGTGTGGGAAGGTTTGGTTACGGCCTCAAGAAGCCCGTAAACCGCTGCATGAATGAGACTGAGTGAGTGAGTGAATGCATGTCCTTTAGGAAGGCCCTTTCCTGGAGCCATTGAAAACCCTAATCCCTAAACCCCAAACCCGAAACCCTAAACCCCAAACCCTAAACCCTAAACCCTAATCGATTCATTAAGGCCTCCGGCATGAAACCCTCTTGATATCCCCTCTATCCAAATCATTAGCCTTACAGAAGCCTTTAGCAATCCCTTAGCAACCTTCCTTAAGCCGGAATAACCTACCTTTTTAGGCTTCTCTATTATGATTTCCTTACATAAGTCCTTAAAAAGGTGGGTTCTTCCGGCTTAAGGTTGTTCTAATTTTATGAGGCATGCCTGCAACTCCAAGCGGTTCAACATAGTAGGTCATGACTTACGGTTAGGTTTAGGGTTTAGGCTTCCCTCAGTCTGTCGAAGGAATCGACTACGTCAAGCTCCACAAGGCCATGCTGGGCTTGGCCTTTGGGTTAAAACCCAGGAGTTCCAAAGATACTGCCGGTCTGTAGGGTTTTGGGTTCAGGGGGTTTAGGGTTTAGGGTCCATTATGGAATTAGCCCTATGATGGTGTTGGGGACCTAGTCCCACGGTGGTATAAAGCCGCAGGTCCAGGATAGCCCCTGAAAGCCTCTGAAGCATGTTTGTAAATATGATCATCTTAAGCCCAAGATGGGAAAACTGATAAAGTATCGCAGAGGCCTGCCTAGCTTCCTTAATTCCCAAAACTTCCGCCATGCGCGAAAGGCGGGTCCGAAGCATGTCCTGAGTCTGATCACAGCCTGCCAAGCTTATTTGATGTGTCTTTGTTGCCTCATCCTGAATTCGTTTTCTTTGAGGCTCTGCATTCGGAGTTCGTTTCCAGCGAAGCGCGGTGCCTTTCGCATGAGTCCTGTGCAAGACGAAGGCTCAAGCACATAGGCTGTTTCAAGCATCGCCACAGTTGCCTGCCAACATATCAGAATGCACAGGAATCGTTGCCTCATGAACCGTGGACTTGTTCTGTTGCTGTTTCTTGCCGTTCTGGGGAACGTCTGGGAGAGGTCATCACCTGCATTCAGCAGCCAATCTGGCAAACCTCACAGAAGCCAGCCGGTGGCTTCCATGACGAGAGAAAACACCCAGCTTCATATGAGCGAAAGCTTGCGCACCGTGCGCGAGAATAGTGAGTTCAGGCATACCCTTTCGGAAAGCGACAAATTGTTGGTAGCTGCGCTGAACTCTGCTGGCAAAAGAGGCCGATGGTCCAAAGTTCAGCAGTTGTACGAGAACTACACCGGTCTCGCCGTTCCTGTTCATGGCGCTGCATTACAAGCAGCATACCGTTGCAAGCAGTATTCAGAGGCTGCCGAGATGTACACCGAGATCCGAAGTGCCAGGGCTTTGACGGTCGATCGAGTCATTCTGCTTCAGGCCATGAAAAATTTCGGCAAGTTGCAGGACAGCACTGCAGTCGACAAAATATGGCAGGAGGTTCGTGCCAACGGATGGGTCAACAAGTTTCTTGCTGCAGCTCGGATTGATGCGGCCAGCGAGATGGGTGACATTGAAGGAGCTGCGTTTGTTTTAGAGTTTATGGTAAATGAGACCGTGCCAGTTTGTGACATCCACTTCTCTTCCGCGATCAATGCATGCAAAAACTCCGACCATTCCAACCGCCACAAGGCAGCCATGTATTTGTTGCAGAGCATGCTGAGCAAAGGCTTGCAACCGAGCGTTGTGACTTTCGCCAACTTAGCTGGAGCTCACCGACAGGCTCCGCTGGATGAGCTTGAAGGCATCCTGTCCAGCATGACAGACAAGGGCATCATTCCCAACAGGGTGTTCATAGAGACATTCTTGGGTGCTCTGTTTCAGGGTCGTCTCACGGAAGCCTGGTCGGTGGACGATGTCCGTATTCGGCTGAAAGGGACGAGCACGGACAGGTTGAGGGTGGCAAAGTCAGTTTTGGGAGATGCACAGTCGCAAGGTGTCCGGATGACGCAGCTCAGCTCCCTGGTTGAGCAGTACCTCCAGCAGCTTGCCATCTGAGTTGCCCGGGGCTCCATGTACATGGGGCTTTGTGGGATGCTGGGTTCGAGACAAATCCGCAGCCAAACGACATCCCTGCTTGACCGAACAAAGCCTGCGTTCTGTAGGGTTTCCATAAACTGAATCGTTTTTTAGAGGTCCTGGCTCGGCTTCTAGGGCTCTGTATGGGTTCAACCTCTACTTGTAAGGTTATACTGCGGGCTAGGGGTCTGGGCTTCAAGGCTTTCGGGCTGTAGGGTTTCTTTAGTAGCTGAGTGGATACACTTTACACTCTTTTGGATAGTACTACCTACTATAAAACCAAAAGTGTAAACTTTTTGGGGCTTATGAGCTGAGTCGACGATGATGGGCTTTTGCTTTGAGGGTTGGCCTTCACCCCAAGCAACCGACCCTTTGATTTCTGAAAGGATTTGTGTAAGGAATTCATTTTCATGAGCACCCTAAACTGGGTAGGTCTGATCGGGTTCAGATCGGATTTAGTAGTTTAGGGAACCTTGTTTCGTTCTTCCGACCCGCTTCAGCCCTGAAGGTCTTGCACGATGCCGGCTTTCATGTCGTAGCATACGACTTGCGCGGCTCGCCTGGGGTATAGCGCTTAGTGGTTGAAGTAGTATACTTTGCATTTTTGGGGGCTCAGACTATCACCCCTAGACCCTAAACCTGTTTTCCCTATCCCCTACTTGGAGGATCACGGGACTTAGTAAGTAAGGTTCTAAGTACCTTAATTGGGGTTACAAGAAGTTATAAGTATAGTTATCCTACTTGTAACCCTAGTTACTAAGTCGCATGCTCCTTTAAGTATAGATCTTTTACACCTTTGGGGATCATACTATCACCCCTAAACCCTGAACCTCAAACCCTATTCCCTATAGAACTTTTACACCTTTGGGGATCATACTATCATCCCTAAACCCTGAACCTTAAACCCTATCCCCTATAGAACTTTTACACCTTTGGGGATCATACTATCACCCCTAAACCTTGAACCCTTTAACCCTATCTTTAACCCTGAATAACCTACCTTTGTAGGGTTCTTTATTATGATTTCCTTATTATGAATTCCTTATATAAGTCTCCAAAATGGTAGGTTCTTCAGGGTTAAGGTATCCCCTATCCCCCATAGAACTGAAGAGTTTGGGAGACCTATGGAGTCAGCAACTGAGAGTGTGCTGATTTGCCTTGCTCACCATCAGCACCCAAGCCCCCTAGAGGTTGGGGCTTATGTAGGGTCCAGGCTGTTCAGTCAGTGGTACACTTTTTTACTTTCAGGTTTCTGGGTTCCTATTATAAAATAGCAAGCCTCAAAAAGTAAATACTTTTTCCCAGTGGGTTACTGAACTGCCTAGGGGTGCAGGGTTTCGGGTTAAGGCTGCCATCCCGAAGCCTGCAGCATCTTAAAGCCCTCAAGCCCCAACCAAAACCACCGTCGACCCTCGATGTAATTCACTTCCTGAGCATTCTCAGGACAAGCTGGGCCCTTGTCATAGAACAATAGCAGCACCTAAGCCCAATGCCGGATCTGGGAAGCCACTGCGCTAAACCATAAACTCTCAACCCTGGAACCTGAACCCTAAACCCTCCAACTTAAATCCCCAATACCCAACCTTTAAACTTTTTGGTTCTTATAGTTTGTAGAAATCGGAAAGTTTAACCTTTTATTTCTGTGGCTTATTGGGGGAGTAAGACAAGGCTTAAAACCCTGAGCCCTAAACCGCTTTGAGGGAACCACGGCGAGTCTGAGTCCAAGCTGCCCAGCGGCTTCGGCGAAGTCGAGTTCATGGATGCAATGGGCGCAGCTCTGGCTGGGTTTAGTGTTTGGGTTTCGGGTTCAGGGTTTTGCATTTTGAATTGCTGGTTGCAGGCCAAGGTTTAGGCCCAGGCACTGGCCGTGCTATAGTCTTCTTGTTTGGTTGTGTCTTGTTTTAGTGTGCTCTTCCGTAGGCGTCTCTGGTTTTCTTGTGTTTGCTGGATTCGGGCGCTAAACCCTAAACCTTATATAAACTTAAACCCCAACGTCCTTAAGTTAGGAGAGCTTAAGGGTACAGGGGTTTAGGCATGAGAGTTTAGGGTAGGCGATGTAGAGTAAGTTTAACTCGACAAATAACCTAGTTACTAAGTTTCCTGGGCCTCTAAGTAGTCCTAAACCCTCATCCGTTACCAAACCCAAAGGGGGAATTTTGGAGCCTTTAGTGAGAATAGGTGTGTTGTTGGAGCATCCCCCCGGCAGCGCCAGTCCTTCGAAATGCAATTGCGAGGGCTGCGTCCCGCGGGATGCCTCGGAAAAGAAGACGCATGACCAAGGATCGAAGGAAGTCTGCGAAGTTAGCCCTAATTCAATCCTAGACTGAGGGGCTGAGTAGGTAACCTTTAACCTTTTGGGGCTTATGTGATGCGAAGCTATAACTCAAAAGTTTAACCTTTTTTGGGCTAGGGTACTCAACCCCGAAGTAAACCGTGAAGATTGCCGACAAGCTTCTCGCAACCCTGAACCGGAAAACCCCTCACTTCCGAGGTCCGAAGCCCCACACGCCTAAACTCCCGCAACCCGAACCGTGAGGCATCTTTGTAGCCCTAGGCCGTGCCCGGAGACTCCGTCAACCGAAGCTCTTAACGCCCTCACACCCCAAAGCCTTAAAACCGTTCACGGCCTCCCAAAATTCCTAAAGACCCTTCAGCTCTCCCTAAACCCTGAACACTAAACCCCTCAAAACCAAAGGCAACACTAAACCCCTGAACCCTAAACCCCAGAGCCTAAGCCTTGAACTCTGAACCGTAAACTAAACCCTACCCTAAGGCTCTTGGACCCTCGTAGTGAGATCCCAACCCTTAGCCCCCAAAGCCCGAAGCCCTCCCTCTGAAAGCCCATGACCCCTTTTGGAGCCTCAGGGTAGACTGTCAAGCCTAAACCCTAACCTCTGAATCCCAAACCACAAGCCCACAAGCCCTACACCGTGAGCTTTTAGGTCATGGATTGGGTGAATGGCCATTCAGTGCTGAAAGACTGCAAGGCTGCCGCAAGGGTCCTACAGGGCCGAAAGTTTAGGTTCATGAGCTTTTGATGATGATGATGAGGATGATGATGATGAGCATGCCAGGACCCTCCTTGTACCCTCAAATAGGGGTAAATGGCCCCAAATCATGGGCATTTAGGGTCTAATAGAGGGTAGATGGAGGGTCTAGGTGATGATTTGATTGTATGTATTGTTGGTATTACCCTCAGTACTGCTAGCTGCTATCATTGTTTTATTAGTTGCATCATAGAACCGTATAGCAGTCGTCTTGTGAAAGGAGGGTGGGTTGGCAGCATCTAGTTGCGGATTCAGCGCGATGGGTTAAGGGGGTCTTAGAGTTTTTTGTGAGAGGCTTCATACACAAGAGTTTGGTTTTATGATGGGAGCGGGGGCTTGTGATGTTGTATGTGCGCTTCGCGTTTCAGGCTCTGTGTGGAGCTTCAGCCAAGGTTTGAGCTGTAAGGGAGAAAACCATAAAACTCTAAACCCTAAATCCCTTGCATTAGCGTTTCCGGGTCTATGCTGCGCTTCAGTCACGGCTTGGGCGCCTCAGAGAATGCCGCCTCCAAATCCGGATTTCGGAACAGATCGTTACTGGTCTAGAGGCAGTTGTGGCAGCCTTCTTGTTAAGGACCCGAGCTAGCTTAAGTTCCCTGTATGATGGAGCTTGTGTCACTTGTCCATGCCTATTGTGGTAACATGCAGGGAGTCTGATCTGCAGGGCCATTAACTTTCTGGGTCTTGGAATATTAAAGGCCTGCAGTACAGCCATCAAAGTGCTAGCATACTCGCTGCGATGAGGACCCGAAACATTAAAACCCTAAAATTCTAAAATGTCCTAAACCCTAAACCCCTAAAACCCTGAAACACAAAAACTCCTAAATTGTCCTACTCCAGCAGTCTCAGTCTTTCACCACAAAAGCCTAGAGCCCTAAAGCCAACATCCTTAAGCCTACCCAGAGACTCCAATACCCCTTAATTAAGGAATATAATATACCTTAAATTATAGTAGGATCCTTAATATGATTTAAGGAATATTCCTTAATTACGGGGTATTGGGGTCCCTGGGTAAGAGCCTTAAAGCCTGGAGCCCTAAGGCCTTAAGCCCAACAACCTTACACCCGAGCGCCCTGGAGTTCTGAACCCTACATGACCGCACTCCAAACGGACCCCACAGAAAAAAGAGCGTAATTCTCTAAATCAGGGCTCGTCTTAAGATCCTTTTTGCACGGGTGCCCCCGAAACTTAGATCCCCAATACGCAACCTTTAAGCGTTTTGGGTTCTTGCAGTTTAGTAGGAATCGGAAAGTTTAACCTTTTGTTTCTGTGGCTTATTGTGGTAGTATAAGGAAAATTACCCGTGTATGATGTTGACTGGCACTCCCAGAGAGTCCAATACCCCTTAATTAAGGAATAATTCCTTAAATCATATTAAGGATCCTGCTATAATTTAAGGTATATTCCTTAATCAAGGGGTATTGGAGTCTCTGGGCTCAGCAGGTGGCTTTGCTTCCATTTTGCGTCTCTGGGGTGGCCTTCATGAAGGCGAACTCACTCTACCCGAAGAAGTTCTCGCAGGTGCTCATATAGTTAGAGACCCAAAAAGCACATAAGCATAAGCATTGTATGGGGATATCCCTACCTTATTGGGCTTCAATATAAGAGGGTTTATATGGGATATCCCTATCCTAACTTTTGCTTATGTGCGTTTTTGGGGCCCTATATAGGGCTGGGGTTATAGGGTTTAGGGTTCAGAGCTCATTTGGGGCTTTCGGTTTACGGTGCTCGAGTTTTTGCGGTTCAGGATCATGTTCAGAATTTAGGGTTGCGGTGGGCATGCTTGCTCAACCGCAATCAATAAGGGTTACAAGCGGCCGCAATGAGATCTCCAAAGCCTGCCGCCAAAGTTACAAACTCTAGTCAGTAGGTCTGTGTGCATGCATGGACAGTGATTCAGCGTCAATGTTCAGGGTGCGTGAGAGAACAAGGACAGCTCTCAGGTCGCTCAAAAGCTGATCTTCTAATTCTTCCCCTTAGTAGCTGGATCACGCTACATTTTTTTGCGGGAAAGTCTTATACACTATACATGTGAAAGTGCAAGCTTTTTTGGGCTTGTGAACTCAGCAATTAGGTTCCATAAGCCCCAAACCCTGCGCCCTTACGTCGGACATGGAGGCTGCCGCAGGAGGATGGTGCCTTTAACATGGGGGCTTGAATTCCAACTCCTAGTATTCGAGAGGCTTCCTTACTTATGATCGAATACACGCCCAAAGGCTCTATATATACCACCATTATGGAGCTAGGTCCCAAAGGGCCATCCATACCATGTCTTTGGGGACCTACTTCCATCATGGTAGTATATATATATATATATATATATAGATATAGATATATGGATATATGGATATATATATATATATATATGTGGAGCCTCGGGGAATATTCTGCAAGGCCCGATTTAAGTGAACTTTTCTCACGTGGGCCACAGATATCTTCGTCTCGCTTGACCCGAGTTCCTGACGGCCTGAAGGTTTCGAGAACTGTTGGCTTAGATAGCCAGTGGGAGAATTTTAAACTTCTTGGCTTTGCATACCTGGTCTATCATTGACAGTACGATCTTTCTTGGGCCCGGTAATTGAAGAAAAGAGTTGGTAGTTGTTTGGGTCTGTTTTTTTGGATTTGGAGGCTAGATGCGGTTTTAGGGTTCAGGATTTTTGGTGTTTGAGGTTTTGCGGTTTTGGGGTTTAGGGCTTAGGGTTTTGGGGTTCAGGGATTCGCGAGACCCTGGCTCGTAGGATTCTTCAGGAAAGGATATCCTCAAGTGTCTCCTAAGTTCCTGAACACGTTACTTCACGGGGTCTAGGGTGTCCTTCATCATTGTGTTCCGTTGTCGAGCCTCAGACCCGAAAGCTCGAAATGCTAAGCCCTTACACCCTAAACCCTAAACCACATAAACCCTATACCCTGAAACCCAAAAGCTTTAAATGCTTAACAAATCGGCTCGACCGGCCCAAACCCTGCCCCCACAGCAGCGGCCAGAAAAGCTGTATGGCAACCTAAGGCCTTAAGGCATCCTAAGCCCGAAAGCTCTGTGCTGAAAGGGCCAGCTGGCTTAACAACGGGGGGTTTAAGTACGGTGAATCTACATGTAAACGCGCTTATAGCCCCAAACACAGTACCCATAACTTCTAACCTTACTCACTATAGCCCCCAGGGTTCGGGGTTTAGGGTTGACCGTAAATTCCTTTCGCGAGCCCTTGCTCATACGAAGGATTCTGCTACGAAGGGTCACATGGACAGGGGCCTTATGCTGAAAAACACACCCGAAACCTAAAACCTAAACCCTAAACCTTACCCAGAGGGCCATACATGGGTGGTTCTCGAATTTCGGGTCCCTTTTAGGCTCCTTTGTATAAGGGTGCTGTGCTATGTTTGGGATCCAAAAGGGGAGCCAATGATACAGAACTACCCAGTCTGGAATTAGGTCCCCCAGGACCATGAGCTTGATTCCACCAGAAGTCACAGGAGTCTGCCAGGCGTCGCCCGGCATCGGACTGCATAGGAACCTCGTCATCGACTTGCTCCATTACTTCGCTGCAGGTGCTGCTGCAATCCTCGCAAATCAGGCAGCAAGATTTTCACTGAAAATCTTTATGTCTGTCAAGCTTGAACCGTCAACCCTTGGACCTTCAGGTCTATAAACCCACCCTATGTAAGCCTTAAAAATAAATGCCGAGCATTCCAGCGTGCCACGTCGTCAGTTCTGAGTGTTGTATGATGAGCCAATGTTGCATAGCACTAATATGTGCGTGAACAATCTAATAAAGTGTACATGTTATATACATATATGTATATATGTGCATGTTTTCATATATCAGCATATCGGTCTGCGCTTGAATATTCTCAATCTGCACTTGACTATGTTCAGCAGGCTGGCATACATGTTCTACATAGTCTTATGTAGCTTTGTTGCCTACTCCTGCTTGCAACGTTGTCGCTTGGTGTGCATGTGTGCGTATTGGTGTTGCTGCTGCCGGTTGTGATGATGTCGGCTGTTGTTGTTGCTATCATTGTTGTCCGCATCAAAGATGCTCTCTTTGTGCATACACATCCGTTCCATATGTACATACATGTGCCTCTTTATATATATAAATATATAGATAGACTTTTCACATACATATGTATACGTACATGTATATACTTATGGATGTACACACATGTGTATGAATAAGCATAGATTCACATATGTGTATGTGCATGACTATATATGCACATACATGCACACACACACACACACACACATATATATATATATATATATGTATATATATATTCATATGATCCGGACTGGAGTCAACAATGAACCCGAGGCGTTGTAAACGAAAAACCGAACTGAAACACGTGACCCTAACCGCGCTGAACATTCCAAGCCCAAACCCTGAACCGTTCCTCAAAGCCAGCGGAGCTATCAACCGGAAATAGTCTTTTGTAGTCCCCTCAAAGTAGTGGATTCGTTTGAGAGCCGTTCTTGGTTTGTTTGTAATGCTTTCATGGTACAGTTGCCTTTTGTTGAAGAAGCAGCTCGCCTCAGAGACCAACAATAGTAGGGTTCTACAGCTCTACCGTAGGATTCCCGTCAGAAGCCTCGTTAAAGGTTGGTGTCTGCATCGTTGGTCCGCTTGGTCCCCTCAATCAAGGTTTAGCCTTCAGAATGGAATCCGGATGATCCCGACCTCAGAGCAATGAAGCTTCGCGAAGGTTGTCGCGTGGGCGACCACCAACATATTTCATGGCCCGACGATCATGGCGAACCGGCCTTACATGCAGCTCGAAAGATTAGCAGCCCTCAACCATGCTACGAAACCTTAAAGCAGTAAACCGTACAGCACAGCACCCTGACCCCTAAATGCTAAACCCCTAAACCTTACAAGCCAAAGAACCCTAAACCACACAAGCCCCCAAAGGCGGGACCTCACACCTAAACCCATATAGGCCTGCTATAGAACCCTTTGTAAAATCCTTTAGGGGCCATTCAATGCCTTTGTCGTCCATTGGTGGCAGACAGGGCTTAACAAAATGCTCTAAACCTTGCTTGGAGGGGCAGGGGACTTAGTAAGTCGTTTATAAGTAGGGTTATAATTGGAATAACTCCGTTTAGGGTACTTACAACTCTACTTAAAACCTACTTCCTAAGTCCCCTGCCCCTCCAAGTAAACCCTAAACCCTAAACCCCATAGATCCCTTTAAGGAACCCTATAGATCCCTTTAAGGAGCCCCTGCCCCGAAACCTTAAGGGGTTCTGCTGGTTTCGTGCCCGGCCGAGCGAGGTTTGGCATGGGCAATGTGCAGCTCCTGAACGAGGCCGGTGTGTACATACCTTCCCATGGGTCCAATGGACCTTAGAATTAGGTACTCGGTTTTAGGTTAGGAGGTATGCAATCGGGAGAGTATATGATAGTACGTACTTGGACCCTTAGGGCCTTACCCTAAGCTCAAAACAGCCCAAAAGCCTTATATAGGATGGCTTGGGGACTATACTTATGACCCCAATTAAGGGACGTATAGCCTTACTTACTAAGTCCCATCATGCTCCAAGTAAGGTTCGACGGCCCGGGTTCTGATAGTGTAAAATGCTGAAAACTTCGATGTCGGTTTGAGGGGTTCAGTATCCGATAACCACGAAAACCCCAAACCCAGGGACGAGAAAGGGGATCTCCTTCGGGAATTATTCAGGCTTCTGTAGCATCTTGTTTGGGCTTACGCCACCTATCCTTACCTGCGGGTGAATTCTTGTGAGGTGGCGTTGGCTTGTTTTTGCTTGCTTGGCATTTTGACATGGGACTGTATACTAACCCCGTGCTGTTAAGTTTAGTTTGATATGTCCGTGTTCGGTGTTGATGGTTTCCGTGGAAAGCGATCAGAAGAAAATATAGCAATAACAAAACGATATCACATCTTTCGTGGTAGATTCAGGGATAAGATTTTTATACGGGGTTATTATGCAACGCCACACAAGCTCAGCCCTTGCGAACTCTGACAGCCGATTCCGTTTTGTTAGAAGGTTTAGGCTTTCGGGTTCTTCGCGCTGTCATTCGACCTCGCCATGTACCTATTGTTTGGCCATGTCAGGCTTTCAGCATGTTTCGTGCAAAGAAAAGCGAAGACAACGAAACCTGATCCCTAAACCCCACAGCATCCCATAACCTAAAGCTCTAAAGCCTTAAATCTAAAGCTGTAAAATCCTCAACCGGTATGCAACTCTCGTACAACCTATCCAAAAGTCATTAAGAAATATTACAACCTGAAGCCAGATCAACCCAAGCTCAGTAAGCCATATAGGGCCGATTTTGAGCTGCCTAACTCCATTATACGAAAGTTTAGGCTTTGCTAGCAAGCCGACCCCTTCTCCTAAAACCTTATATAAGCGTAACATAAGGATCCGAAAACACAATCCCCGAGCCCAACGACCCTCATAGAAACCTGCATGCTTTCAGGATAAAACAGAGCAAATGTCAAACAGGTGTTTTCCCGAAGCCCTAAACCCTAAACCCTTAAACCCTAAACCCTAAACCCGAAGCCCTAAACCCTAACCCAAATGCCCTCATGCCCAAACCCTCAACCCAGGCCCTCAAGAAGAAGCAGGCCCAGTACGTCAAAAGCGGCGAGCTGACGTGCCTCGACTCATCTGGGAGGGTTGCAGTGCTTCCCTAAACTACAAAACCCTACTTTTTTGTAGGTTTTTTTTCTGAACCCTAGTATGGAATTTATAGGGACCCTACAAAAAAGTAGGTTTTGGTAGGTTCAGGTAGCGCCTTAAGGTTTCGGGTTTGTGGTTCAAGATTCTTTTTTCGGCTTTTTGAAACTAACTAGGAAGATCGTTGAGAGATCCTGCTGATATGCATCTTAGTATTAGTGCTTGGGCTTCTTTGGAAGGGTGCTTCATTATCTGTCCAAGGGTAAAAGGAGGGACCCTTAGTAAGGACCCCTAGGTATATACCCTTTATATAGCTATTATTATATGCCCATTTTATATAGCCCGTTATAGGGTAGGGGTCCCCATTAAGGGTCCCTCCTTTTCCCCGTTGAATCTGTCACCCCTCTTTCGTCAGCGGACTGGAGCTTGCGAAGATGGCCCACACATGCTCTGAAACCTGCCAATACACTCCAAGCCCTTGAACCTTGAAAGAATGTCCTGCAAAGCCAAACACTCAACCCCTGATGCGTAAACCCGATAAATCCTATACCATCTACATCCGAGATTCACGGGTTCGAAGCTATAGCACCGAAACACAAAATCTACACCCTGAGCCGTTCAGGGTCCAAGGGTGGAGGTGTTAGCATGGGGTTTAGGAGTGTAGGAGGTTTCGAGATGTCGGCCCTCATCTGAGAGACCTGACCCAACCTGGAAGCCTAGGGTTTAGGGTACGGGCCCCTAATATGGACCTTAAGGCCCTCTCGAGGGAGCCCTAAAGACCCTTAAGAGTCTACATAGGGTATATAGTAGGTATTTATAGGGATCCAAAGGTTAAGGGCCCATAATATACTAGAGGCCCATGGCTTCAACCGTTGATTTGACCTTCAGTTTTACGGTTTGGACGTTTAGGGTGTATTATAGGGCTTAGGGGCGTTGGGCCTTGGATCTTGAGCAGTCGACCGAAACCATCACGCCTAATCCCGTTAGTTGCCGTAATATTGAGGTATAGGCACCCAGGATTCTAGTCATTAAGGCCCTGCGTGAAAAATATCCCTGTTTTTAGTTCTTCAGCCTCACGGTACTCACTCCTACGCCCGAAACCGGCGAGGAACCCTGACATCAAGTTCACAGCCCAGCGAATATCTGCGAAGCCCTATGCGCCAGATGTCAAAGTGCCCATACTTTACTGTGCCCTGGCCAGCAATCGGGGCCAAATCGAGACATACGGTCCACAAGGATTAAGGGTGTAGGGCATTTCCAAAGATTCAGTAGGGTTTGGTAGGGTTTAAAGGATAGGGAGCCCGCGTTCTTTAAACTCTCAGAGCACAAAACGAGTCCCGAGCTCCAGCCCCAGATCCTAAGACCAAGAACCTCAAAGCTAGGTGGGGCCAACCACGATTTAGGGTTTAAGGTTTAGGCTTTATGGTTTAGGGTACGTTGGGGCTTTGGGACATTTTATATTTGCTCTTATTGGGCACCAACAAATATTTTTCAAAGGCTTTAAAAGCACCTCCTAGTAAAGCCTGCCCCCTAAACCCCAACACCCAAAACCTTGGAGCCTTAAGCCCAACACTCCGAAGCAGGAATCCCTTACCTGACCTGAGACAGTTTATCATGCAGGGACCCAGCTGGTTTCTAATGCTACTCCTAGGTAATGGGGTTCCATGTTTTCACTAGAATGTAGCATGCCCCACAACCCTGATGGTGATACCAGGATGTACCCCCTCAAAACCCCGTACGAGTGATCAAAGCCCCATCTAATCCTACCTTTTGGGGTTCCATCGCTGTCCTTGGAAAAGTAGGTTTCTCTAGATCCAGGTGGGGTGTAGGGTCTAGGTTTCCCAGAGGCGACGTGATGCATGACTTCGCGGACTACCACGAGATGAGCTGCCCTGCTACTTGTCGGCTCTGTAGGGTTTGGGGCTTAGGGGTTTAGGGGTTTAGGGGTTTAGGGTTTAGGGGTTTAGGGTTTAGGGGTTTAGGGTTTAGGAGTTTAGGGTCTAGGGGTTTAAGGGTTTAGGGTTTAGGGGTTTAGGGTTTTCTTTGGGGTTTAGTGCGTGTCTCCGGGAACAAGGTGCTTTGTGCATGGAAGGGCCCGATCTGGGATGTGTAGAGCCCGAAACGGGCGTATCGTTCAATATAGAAGCCTGCCTTAATCACCAATAGTAATTTTCGTTAAGGTTCCTACTGGTATCACACGCTAATATAGCTGGAAGCGAAAGTGGGAGTTCAAAACATCCCCGAATCGCAGGATCTTTCCTATAAGCGTGGCTAAGCAAATCTGGCAAAGCCTCTAAGAGTCTACATCACAAAATCCTAGCCCGAATCCCTACACCGTAAGCACTGCAACGTAAACCCCGAAACCTAAACCCGAAACCCAAAGGGAGAAAAGCAGGGGGGCCCTAACACAGGCCCGAGCAAACCACCCATAGAAACCCTATACTGGGTATCGATTTGGGATAGTGTTGAATTTCCCCTATTGCTTGTTTACAAAGCCCCAACCATACATAATTTGCGGGACAGTTGAAATCGACACCTATAACCTTAGAAACCTGACATCTATAGACCCTAAACCCTGAAACCCGAAACCCCGTTTTAGACCTCTTATACAGCCCTCCAAAACCTGACAGCTCGGGCTCCAGTTGCCTAAATAGTAGGTTAGTATAACCATATATTATGTACCCCAGTAACCTAGAACTATTAATTACGAGTATAACAACTATGAGTATGAGTGTCATTAGTATTCGTACTATTATTTAGGTTGCTGGAGCCCGAGGGAACGAGAAACCTAGGGAAACCTAGGGATTAGGGTTTCGAGGTTTAGGGTTTCAGGTTTATCCGTAAGCTTTAAGAGAAAGAACCCCCTCCACAGGACATCTTCAAAGAGTTTGGTAAGGACCTCCGTGAGGAACTGAGGCAGCGCAACGACGCTGGGATGCAAGCTTTACTTACGAGGGTAGTAGGGCTTGGGATTTAGGGTTTAGGGCCTAGAGTTTTCGTTCCACTGATCTAGGGGTTTAGTGCTGCTCAGGGCTTCTAGCTTGCAGGGTTACCAGTGTTTCGAGCCCCAAGGTTCGAAAGGATTCTTCGAGGTTCTTCTGGAAGCTTCAATTTGTATTCTCGGGGCCCTTAATAGTCAGCTATACTATAGTTTGGGGGTTCCTTATGATAATTATAGTATAGTGGCCTTTATTACTATCTTTTGCCTTTCTTTGCCAGCGGGCCTGGGGAGATCCAGCTCATGGCGTTTCGGGTTTAGGGGGGTTTTGAGGCGCTGCTTCGGCTTGCTGATTAGGATGTGAAGTTTAAGCTCTACGGGGTTTTCGGGTTTAGGGTTCAGGATGTACCCTTTAATGGAGCCCATTGTGGTCCTTAATAGAACGTATTGAGGGGATATTAGAGGGTAGTGGGGGGGTCTAAGTAGTTGGAGTGTGGCGCGTACACGCGCGTGTAGTTTTTGCAGGTTTTTGCATGTTTTGCGGCTTCGGGGGGTGGGGGGGGGGTGGGGGGGGGGCTTAATGACGAGCCTGTTCTACTCTTAGCAGTTCTACTACTGCTGATGATCATGCTGGGATGGAGTCTGATCTGGACGTTATCCTGCTGGGATGGAGTCTGATCTGAAGGTTATCCTGCTGGGATGGAGTCTGACCTGCACGTTATCCTGCTGGGATGGAGTCTGATCTGGACGTTATCCTGCTGGGATGGAGTCTGATCTGGACGTGATCATGCTGGGATGGAGTCTGATCTTGACGTTATCCTGCTGGGGTGGAGTCTGATCTGGACGTTATCCTGCTGGGATGGAGTCTGATCTGGACGTTATCCTGCTGGGATGGAGTCTGATCTGAAGGTTATCCTGCTGGGATGGAGTCTGACCTGCACGTTATCCTGCTGGGATGGAGTCTGTTCTGGACGTGATCATGCTGGGATGGAGTCTGACCTGCACGTTATCCTGCCGGGATGGAGTCTGATCTGGACGTTATCCTGCTGGGATGGAGTCTGATCTGGACGTGATCGTGCTGGGATGGAGTCTGATCTTGACGTTATCCTGCTGGGGTGGAGTCTGATCTGGACGTTATCCTGCTGGGATGGAGTCTGATCTCTTGGGTGCTCCACTTCTGCACTCTGAAGCATGCCCGACGGGGCGCCGAGCATGCGAGACGGCGAAAAGGCCACTTTCCGTAACAACTACTTGCGACCAAGTACTCAAAGAGCCTGCCCCCCAATGTAGGAAAAAAAAGCCTGATCTCTTGAAAACCCACCCCTGCCGATGTATTCTGCACTTCCATCGCCCAGTTCAATGCGAGCAAGTAGTCAAATAGCCTCCCCCCCCTCAAATAGGCATGCGTTGCCCGGAATGCTGAAAACCCACCCCTGCCGATGTTTTCTGCACGTCCATGACCGTTTTCAATACAAGCAAGTAGGCAAATAGGCTCCCTCCTAAAATAGGCATGCCTTGACCGACATGCTCAAAACCCGCCCCTGCCGATGTTTTCTGCACGTCCGTCGATGAGAACATGCCTTTTGTACCACGCGCGGGAACGCGCCACGAACCAAGTAGTTTCTAGGGTTTAGGATATAAGCTCTAGGATTAATCAAAAGATGTGGTTTCTCAATGTTGAGGGTTCCTGGGTGGGTGGGCATTTCCAGAGGATCCAAATAGCGAGCTCGACTTGAGACATGCCTCGGAAAATCTTAAACCCTAAACCCTAAATCCTGAACCCCTCTTTCCCTAAACCCTATCACCCTAAACCCCTCAACCCTAAACCCGAAACCCCTAAACCCCAACTCACCTAACCCCCAAACCCTTTGTAGAACCCTTTCAGATCCCTTTAAAGGGAGCCATGAAACCCTAAACCCCTAAGACCCTAAACGGACCCTCGCAGAGGAGCTCCACTTCCTCGGGCCGAATCAGCCGGCGCCTTTCACAACGGAGGGCCGGAACAGGAGTGCATGCATGAGTTGCAGCATTCAAGGGCGGACTTCTCGTTGGGCGTGTTGGCAGATGCCCTGAGTATTATGTAGCTTCCAGATAATTACAGAGCATGCATGCATGGCGACGGCCGGGGCTGGGGCTCGGAACCTTCTGTAGCGACCTGGCTCTGAGGAGCCGTACTCTGTTTGCGTGATCGATCTATGTATATGAGACCAGGCGTTCCTTTCGGCTTTAAAGTTTAGAGATCAGGGTTTCAAAGTTTTGAGGCTTGTAGGGTTCAGGGCTTCAGAGTTTTTAAGACTTTTGGGGTTCATGGCTTTAGGATGTTTAAGGATTTTAGGGTTTAATGTTTGAATCCCTGAAAGGCAGCAGTTCGAAGCCAAGCGGCACGCCCAAACAGACAATGTCAAGCGAATCCAGGCCAGTGCCCCAGACATGCGAAAATCTCTTCATTAAGGAATATACCTTACGTAAATTATAGTAGGATCCCCACTTGGATTTGAGGCATATTCCTTAATTCAGGGATGTTGGAAGGCCTGAGTGGACCAACACCTTTGAACAATTCAGTTCGAGGCTCTCTATAAATCCTGCTGAGTTGTTGATCGTGGGTTTTCCCTTGTGGGGTCAAGGGTTGAGGTTTGGGTTGTAGGGTTCAGGGTCTGGGGTGTAAAGCTTTCGGGGTCCGTGCTTTGCATTCAAGAACCCAGGAACCCTCATTTGCAGCACACATGCGATACCCAGTTTTCAGCTTTTGTGTGTCTCGAGGTACGCACTCTATCTTGTTTGTTTAGGGATGGGCCTTCGGATTTGGGTTCCTGGCTTGGTTTCGTGATTTGCTACTGATGGTCGAGGTTTCAGGAACGATCAATCAACCCTGAACCCTAAACAACACCCTCCGAGTCTTCGGCATACGCTGAGAGGGTGTTGCCGCAGGAGCGAGGGCTACAACTTCTACCAGTCAGACGCTGGCAGCAAAGTTTTGCTAGGCAGGAGCGCTTGCCTCATGAAGCTCTGTAGAGCCTAAATCCTCAACCCTGAGCCCTCACCCCCCAAACCTAAACCCTATAAGTCTAAACCTGAACCGTGAGTTCGGAACTCCAAACTCCAACTGTTTTTTGAAGCTCCAATAATCCCAACGGCCAGAGAATCCCGGAACCAACAATCCGTTCCTTTTTGGAGTTATCCGGCCGCCCTGCTATCTGGGTGTTTGTCAAAATTAGGATCCCTGTTTGGGTACCCTAAATAATAGGTACCGTATCATAATAGGGACCCAAAAAGGCACCTTAATTTTGACAACCACTCATCTACTTTTTCGAGCAGAGTGCCCTTTTCTGAAGGATTTCTCATGTTGAAATCCGAACGGGGTCGGACAATTCCGAGCAGTATCACCCTTACAGTCCCGAATTGAGTCATGGCCAGAAAAAGCCCCAACACCCCGTAGTAGTTTTGGCCTCGGTATTTGGCAAGTGTGCGAACTTTGGAATAAGGGAGCGCCCCAGGATAGACTCTACATCCAAGGCCTACGGGAGGATCTACAAAGCAGATCCCCGAATTTGGGGCCCTATACTACTGAAAGCAGATCCCCGAATTTGGGGCCCTATACTACTAAGGGTACTTTATAGGAACCCCCATTAAGGGATATACTTTTTGAATCCTCCCGGAGGTTTGGAATAGCACAGTAGGATCCTTTTTCAAAGAAGCCCAAAGCTGGGACCCCCCACTTCAAAAATCCCTGTCGCTGCTGTACAGTAAACCCCAGAACCCAGACCCCCGGGAGGATCCAAAAAGTAGATCCCTTAATGGGGGTTCCTATAAAGTACCCTTAGTAGTATAGGGCCCCAAATTAGGGGATCTACTTTCTAGATCCTCCCGGGGGTCTGGGAAAGTTGGAAACCTGATGAAGGCCAAATAGTGCGGGGATTCCCTCTACATTACTCTTAAGGATTGAGGCTATTGGGTTTCCAACATTTGGGCTTCTACTGTATCTCCAGAGGGGTTTAGGGGTTCAGGGTTTAGCAGCACCTCCCAGCCAGACTTTAAGTCCGGTTTAGGGTTAGTGTAGGAATCCGGGCGTAGGGTTAGGGTCTAAGGTTTAGGGTTTGGGGCCTAGGGTTTGGGGTTCAGGTTTAGCATATTAAGAGAGCCTAAGTACCCACTATTGCGGACAATAAGGCCTCTATTCAAGGGTGCTGGTAGGGGTTCTGCTTCTGGCTCGTGTAAATGCGGAGGCTTCCTCAGCAAGTACTGTCCGTGAGCCGAGCAATTCTGCTGACGCGCTGGGCACGTTGTTGCGGTTTTGGGGGACAGTGCAGGGTTTAGGGGTTTAGGGTTTATTAGGGCTTAGTGCATAGGGTAGGTGTTGCAGCTCAATTGTACCATCTAGGCTTGCAAGCCTTGAGTGCCAAGGCCCTAAAAGCTGAAGTTAGGGTTTACGATTTGGGAGTTTCCAAAAATAGGGGACCCTAATATAGTACCCTAAATAGTAGGATCCTTATTTTAAGGGCCCCCAAATAAGGTATCCCCAATGTTCGGAAACTCCCATTTAATCCCCTTAAAACATTTTCGATGGCATGGCTATTGGCTTTAGCCAGTAGCTCGAGGCCGGGATGGCTTCCCTCCAGGTCCAAAACAGCAGGGGCACCCTCGCACAGGGCTCTTGTGCAGGATCTTAGCTTGAGCCTCCTACTGCGGAAACAGCACACTTAGCGCACTGTTCGTCATCTGTCCGCCTAAGCCCCAAACTCCGTATCCCTACTACGATAGCTTAGCTTCAGCAGGCGGGCCTTTCCGTAGGGCGTGTTGAGGACTAGGGTATGCGGGCACCACAGGGGTGTGGGTTGTGTTACATGGGTGGTTGTCAAAATTAGGGTCCCTTTTTGGGTCCCGAATAGAGTACGGCACCTAATCACCTAAAAATTAGGGTACCCCAAAAGGGACCATAATTTGGACAACCACCCACATGCTAAGCTGAGGGCTTGGGAAGCAAGGTCTTGTCGTAGGTGCGAGGGCTGACATGGGAGTTTCCGAAAATTAGGGGCACCTTCTTTTGGGGTCCTCATAATAAGGATGCTAGTGTTTAGGGTACTATACTAGGGTCCCGGAAACTCCCGAATGGTTTAGGGTATTCCAGGTTTGGACTTCTCCCTTCGGGCCCTGCTGGAAACAGACTTTTACATGGGCCAGGAGTGTCGCAGCCGCCGGCTGTTCTTTCTTGAACTCGCGATCGATTCACTGCAGAAACATGGGGGGCAAGTTGCATGTCCACGCTCCGTAAAACCACAAACGCTGAGACCCTAACATCAAGAGCCCGAGAACCGAAGCCCTCCGTTATAGAACCGCTTACGCCTTAAAGGAACCCTTATAACTGAGCCCTCAAAGGAAACCTCAAAGGAACCTTTAATGCAACCCTTTCAACTCCTAATCGAACCTCTCCATGAAGCCCCGCGTGGATAGAACATGGAGCCTGAATGTTCAGAATCGTTACGGCACCTGCAAAGAGCCAAAGACTGGATTCTTGTTAGGAACTTAAGTTAAGCTACCATCATAGGGATCTATAGTCTATAGTGTATAATATGGTTCCTTAGTGTGGTAATTTAAATTTAATCCTTGAACAAGAGCCCAGAAAAGAGTAGTCAACAGGGCTACCCGGGGCCTTAATAGTTTGAACTGGGCTTTGGAGTATACTTTGCTTGCTGGAATTAAAGTAAGCCCTAAACCCTAAACGTTTTCGAAACCTTCAACTTCAAAAACGACATCCTAAACCTAAACCTAGTTGTGCACGGGACATGGCTTGCCCAGCCCTTTGTAGATAGGTCAAGGGAATGGAGCCTGACCTCAGGCATCAGCTCCTGCGACAGAATCTCGCTTGAAGAATTCCTGTAGGGCTTAGGGTTCAGGTAAGATAAGCATTCTGGAATTAGAGGTACGCGTGCGCACACGCACACATCTATCTATCTTAGTCTATCTTTCTATCGAACTGACTGTAAATATATACATATACATATGTATATACATAAATATACATATAATATATACATATAATATATATATATATATATATATATATATATATATATATATATATATATATATTTATTCATTTATCTCTTTGTCTGCCTGTCTGTCTGTCTGTCTGTCTGCCTGTCTGTCCGTCGGTCTGTCTGTCTGCCTGTCTGTCTGAGGAAGATCCTGACAAGGTTGCAATGGACGTGCCGGGAGCTGAGAGAGGCCATGGACCTTGGGCAACGAGCCTCTCGAGCGCTTGACAGGCTTTCGGGATCCCAAGACCAGCCGTCTCTAGTGGTGGGAGTTGGCCACTGACTTTGTATGCTGGGAGGAGGAGATATGTGCAGCTTGTGTGTGTCAAAACGCATTTACAATCGCTGGCACAGTGAGGACTTGTGAGAAGAGTAGACGAGTTGGAGGCGGGCGCGCTGCGGCAGCGGCTTCAGTGCAGCGGTGCTTGCTGCGAGGCGCCCCTGCAGAAAAAAAAACATTCAAAGTCTGCCTTCATGCTCCGGTTTTTGTCGAGGTGAGAGTCGGCCCACATTTCAGACCTATGCAGACACCCATACATCGCGCAGCCTTTGAGTCTCAAGTTCATAGCTGATGCTGCATCTCGACCATTGCTTTGCCCGGCCCTCAGTTGGTGGAGCATCACGCGCAAATTCAGCATGCTTTGTTGCAAGACTTCCCCCCTCTCATGACCTCCTTTGACTGCAAACAAGCCATGGAGTGGGGAGCCCAGATTAGCGGAGCTTCTTTACTTGCAGCCTCCGTGGTCGTCTGTCTGTCGGTCCGCCCGTCTGTGTGTCTGTTGCACATACCTGCACCTGTCATCTATCTATCTATCTGCCTGTCATGTATATGTCTATCTTTTTACGTATCTGTCTATTTTTGTGTCTATCTACCTAACCAACCAATTTTCTGTCTATGTATCTTTCTAGCTAGCTATCTAAACATCTATCTATCTATCTGTCTAACTACCTATCTGTCCATCTATCTGTTCATCCATCGCCCGACCTGTTTGTCTATCTATCTGTCTATCGATATACCCATCTGTCCATCTCTCTGTGCATGCATGCATGCATACCTGTAAGCTGATAAATCAAAACATAAGCATGTTTCTTAACCTTTTCCTTTCCAAGGTGCTTAGTCGTAATCTGCTCTGGAGCCCAGACGATGAAGCTTACGAGTATGTATCATTGGGCACGTCCCCTCGCAAAAACGAGCGCGCTAAGCGCTTGTCACGCAACTACTTTGTCTCCAAGAAAACCCTCACCCAGACATGGTCGAAGCACTTGGAAAGCTTCATGGAGCACCACTGGCCGATCCTGTGCCGCTATCACGACCTGGGCGATTTTGGACTGGAGCTCGATCCTCCGGCAAGGGCAGGCTGTGACGAGAAGGCCTGCTTCAAGATGTTGTCCTACGACCCCTTCCGCAAAATGGTGGACCAGGCGGGTAATTTTGAACCTTATCTTACCTTAAGTTCCCCCCAAAAGTATGAAACAGGCAACATTTCCCAACCTTATCTTATCATGTCTTCAACCCTTATCGTCAGGTCGGCAAGTGCACCACCACGGACATTAGAGCAGCGGCCGAGGACTACCTCACTGGTGATGCAGAGACCATGGCCACACCCCGAAGCAAGCGCTCGTTTCAAAGGTTCGTAAACCACGAACCGGGAGTCAGCATCAAGCACTACCAGCTGGCAGACAGCAAGAAATTCACTGCCAAGCTCGGCAGCCTGCTGGAAAACCCCAAACGAAATCGCAAGGGGTGAGCCCAGTATGCACTGTACAAGTATGATTTTGCATCTTATCTTTTGGAAGAGGTGCAGAACCTGGGTGTTTTCTACCTCATCATTCTGCATTGTACAAGTATCATTTTGCACCTGCAGCCCGCTGGAAAACCCCAAGCGAAATCGCAAGGGGTGAGCTTCCCAAACATGGCAGGCAACAAAACATCTGGCGTTATGCACCTGATCTGTGTTGATGGGAAGACGGTATGCATTGTACAAATATGATTGTGCATCTTATCTTTTGGACTAGGTTCAGAACCTGGGTGTTTTCTACCTCATCAGTCTGCATTGTACAAGTATTATTTTGCATCTTATCTTTTGGAATAGGTTCACAACCTGGGTATTTTCCACCTCATCAATACGCACTGTACAAGTATCATTTTGAACTTTATCTTTTGGAGTAGGTTGATGACCTGAGCATTTTGCACCTGATCCTTTTTAAGCTCGTGATTTTTATTTTGGGGGCCCGAAGATGTGGTCTTGGTCGAAAGAAAGAAACAATTTCAAGTACGAGAATAGATGCTTTTGTGCTGTGTAATTTCTTTCATAGAAACTAACGCCATTGTTTCTGACGGAAAGCACAAAAGCAAAAGGTCCACAGTATTCAGATACACAGCCTGAGCCGAAACAGACTTCAACCACTTAGAAGAAGACTGGCAGAGAGAAGCCAAGGATAAGGTTCAAAAAAAAGAACATGCGGCAGAAGTGCCTGATGAGGTTCAAAAACAAAGGCCCAGGATAAGCCCCATTTTGATGGTGCAGACAGTGAAAAGAGGAGGTTGAAAATACTGCGAACAGGCCAAAACAAGAGAAGGTTCAAAATGAAGAAGGAGTAGGTTCGAAACAAGGCGCTGTGCAAGACCCTGAAAATGATAAGGAAGTTTATCAACGTCACCACTTTAGAGGAAGGAGAAGTCGTAACAAGGCTTCCGTAGGTGAACCTGCGGAAGGATCATTCGCACTATCCAAAACATGTCGTGAACTTGGCTGAATGCGACTGCTTGTGAATTCGTTTTGGCAAGTGGAAGCTATGGGCGACTGGAGGTAGCCATACATGACTACGCTTAATTTGTGCTTTGCAGTCATTCCAGGCAAGCGGAAAGGTCTGCGGTGTCGAATAGATCTGTCACAGGGGCTGGAAACTCAGGAAATGCAGCCCCCAGAGCCTCCAAGACCGTTAATTAAGGAACATACCTTAAGATCATAGTAGGGATCCTATTATAATTTAAGGCATATTCCTTAATTTAAGGGGTTTTGGAGGCTCTGGGCCAAGTCATCCCACCTCAGAGCCTTCCTGCGAAATTCCTGGCGTACTGTACCGGAAGCCGCAGGAAGGGTGCTGAGCGGGTTTGGAGCAACGCGCTGCCGTGCAACTGCCAGAAATCTCACTGGGCGCCACAGAGCCTTAGGGTGCAGAGTTTCGGGCTTAGTGAATCAACGCCTCTTTTAGG